TGTCAAAATATTTTTTTAAGAAATACTGAATGTTTCAAAGAGATCTTCATACTACAAGTATTGGATAATGTGAAGAATGCAATCCCAGGGGGGTACAAAATGACCCCAGGGCGTATGGATAGGTTATGGTGTAGCTATGGACCCTGCTCACATAACCCATGGATCCTATATTCCAAAGTTTGCCTGGAGGCTCTAGCGACATAGAGGCTAAGGTGTTCGCCTCTCATTCAAAGGTTCCGGGTTCGAATTCGGGTAACAACCGAAAAGTTTTCTTCTCTAAAATTGTCTCCTTTCACCTCCTCTGGCAATGTTCTGTCGTCTGCTTCCGTCTCCACTTTCTGCCCCCACCCCTCACCTCCTTTGCCCCCGACTCTGGGCTCCTGACTCTTTCTGCAGCCTTTCTTCTGCTACTTCTTGGCTTCTTCTTACAGCTGCGTTTCAGCCACACTCCTGATCTTCTAGTTGGAAAGATCTACACCTAGCCTTCTCGGACAAGGGCGAAAAATCTCGGAGGACCTGTGTACAAGATGCGCACGTTAAAGATCCCTTGGTGGTCTAAAATCGATAAGAGTAGGTTTCGGCTGCCACTCGGGCAAAAATCAAAATTTCCTACCAAATAATTTTTTAAAATGTGTCCCGCGCGCTCAAATAACCTTATGCAGTTGCGAGTGCCGTAATGCACTTTCCAAAAAAAAAAAAAAAAAAAGAAAAGTTTATCTCTTATTTATTTACCTCTCCAAATTCTGTCGCCCGGAAACTTGATGATCGTTATACTTTTTGAAAACTTAAAGCGCAGATAAACATCACTTGTTTATAAACTGAGATCTACTTGTCATGTCTATTACTAGTAGTTTTGTATATTTTACAACCATTTGAATGTTAAATATTTAGATATGTAATCTAATTTATCAGGCCTGATTTGTTTGTGTGTGTGTGAGTGTGTGTGTCAAAACCGTTTGCATTTTAAATATTTACATATCAGGTCTGATTTGTTTGTGTGTGTGTGTGTGTGTGTGTGTGTGTGTGTGTGTGTGTGTGTGTGTGTGTGTTTGTGTGGGTGTGAGTGTGTGAGTGTATGTGTGTGTGTGTGCGTGTGTCTTAAAACCTTAAATGTTTAGATAGCAGGTCTGATTTGTTTTCTTTGCGTACAACAAGTGGTTTTGGTGCTACTTTAGCGCGGTGCGGCGCATCTGGCAAATCTCTGGGGTGTGTGAACTGAACATTCCCAAAACCATTTTGTAAACTTCATATTCTATGTATAGGTAAACATTCCATTTCTCAGTGAGAGATAAGAAGATAGAAAAAGAACCCACGATCTAACAAACGTTTAGTAAGTAGTATCCCAATGACAAATTATAATAAATATTATTTTTAGAACGTTAACACAAGCTTGTTACTTTGCCAGATAGGAGATACTGAGAAGTCACGCAGATCGTAAACAAAAGGTCGGAGACATGATAAACGATAGGATAAAGCACTATGAGTTTTTTTCGTTTTTTAAAAATAGATTGCTAGATCTATCTGGTCCCCCACGTATTCAGTCAAGGAAACAAGACCTGATCAATGACGTGGATGTAAGTCAAACATAATTTAGGCCGGCTGTTGTGATAAGCCTGTCGTTTCCCGTTGCTTATAGGTCTATATATTATGTCCGCCAGTGTGTCCTTTTGTCTTGGTAAGTCTGTTCATTGATACTCAAGGATTCCTCCTTCTTGACTATATCCCGTGGAGGTAAGGGGGCTTTTGTTTGTGCTTTTATTATCCTTTTTTCCTTTCTTTTGTTATCGCTTTTCTGCCTTGTCTTACATCTTTTTTGTTGTTTTTTTTATCCGTTTTTTTTCTTTTGTTATCGATTTTTTGTGCCTAGTCTTATCGCTTTTTTGGTTCTAAAATCGATACGAGTAGACCTCAGCAAAATTCGAATTTAATTCCCTTCAAAACTGAACATACTCTGGTCATTAAAAAAAAGACCAACATAATGAAATTAAGTACCGGTGAAAGACGGTGCGATGGCGGAGCGGTTAGTGTGCTCGTCTTCGAAGCGGAAAGTCCGGGTTCGAGCTTCGGTTCGGACAGGGATTTTTTCGCCCCCTCCTGCCCACCCAGCAGTAATGGGTAGCCATGTGGGTAGCTCACTTCGAGTTGGGGAAGTAAAGGCGACGTAGAAAGGCACTGGCCACCCTACCACTATATGCCGAAGGCCTAGGATGTTGTCTCCCCAACAAGGCAATCCCCAATGTCCGGATCGGATGCGAGAACAACTTAACTTTTTTACCGGCGAATTCGGAAAGCATTGGATCCTACTAAGTAGGAAATACAGTCACATCAGATCTTATGATAAGAGTCGCCTTCGGTTGTCACCCGGGGAAAATTCGAGATTAACTCCCATCAAAAATGAAAAATGGGTGGTTGATGGGTGCTATGGTGTGGTTTGTTTCTTCTTTCTTGTCAAACATCTAACGTCCTTATCTCTTCTCCTTCTTTTTTGTGTTTGCTACTCTCTTGTAACACCTCTAATCTTCAGCACTTATATGACCTTATTGTGTTGCAAATGCCGTAAAAACTTAATAAACCAAAAAAAAAACCCAACTGAAAATACTCTAGTCAGTTGAAAAACACACAGAGTACCTTCCAAATCGGAACGTGCAAAGGGCCTTACAAAATAGATGAAAAAACTCCCCAGTCACATAATAGATCTATGTAAAGATCATTTGCACTGCAGCTAGAAGGAGGGTAAACTTTTTTTTTTTCGCTTATCTGTAACTCCCTAAAAACATCCTGTATTTTCCGCTCAAAGATATTTTTTTCACATAAAGCAAGGCAAATGAACAAGCTTTACGATGATATAAATTTGTAGTGTTCATGTCCAAACATTGGGGAGTGCCTGATTCCACCGCGTCGTGACACATATGTGAGGCAGCGTGGTGGATTCAGGCTCTCGTCAAAATGATCAAAGTTAAGAAACTTGCATTTTTCCGCAATAATGTGAATTTTTATCAAATTTTTGTTTTTTGGCTCAACACCTTTCATGCCCATTAAAGAACTCATTTCTGGGTGGATTTTTCTGAAAAGCGTTGATTAAAGGCACAAAAATGTAAATTTTCAGTTACCACGGACTCTTAAGCTAAGGAAATAACTAATCTTTGGGGGCAAATTTCTCACTTATTTTACCTCTGAAAACAGGTGACCCCCACGTCCTTCATTCTCAAACATCTCGGCTTGTATTCAAGATAAAATGGATATTTTTTTCATTCAAATAAAGACAAGTGAATAAGCTTTAAGATGATACCAATAACTCTACGTGCCCAAAAATTGACGAGAGCCCGATTCCACCGCGTCGTGACACCTATTATTATTGTCTAAATAGCCATTAGGTGAATTTTTATGCGCACACGCTTATACATGCCTGAGTAAAATGATGTTTCTAGTTTTGGCACTTTCTGGCATGCTGTATTACTTTTCAAAATATGCAGTCGACCGAAACGTTTTTGTAACAGAATACTCCGAGCCTGTTTATAATCAGCAAGCTATCTCTGGCTATCTCTTTGTGCACTTATCTAGCTAATTCATCAATGCTGTGCCAGAAAATGAAATATATTTATAAAAAGTTGTGACTACTTAAAGTTAAGAATGCCACTGAATCAATGTCACCTTTCGACGCTGGCTCATATTATGTATGTATGTATATTATATACTACAGCAAAATATATCTATATTATAGTCTATTTATAATGCTACAGCTAAAGAACGATAAATAAGGTTTTTTTTCTGTTATAAAAAGTAGCAAATAAAACCCCCAAAAAATATTGACATTCTAAACCTCAGCCTACTTCATATTAAACACAAGAACAAACCTACCTACTAGTCTTGAGTTTTGAGAACAACAGTAAAATGTGAAGTGTGCTGACTGCTGACAACATCAGTTACTTTCGGATTCTAGCCTTATGGAAAAAGAAACATCATGCTTATAATTGAAGCTTTACAATTCATAAGTGGGAAATAATAACAGGCATGTTATACATAAAAAATAGAGCATCAATAGAAGATCTACTAATTGGACATCGGTGTTGATTTTTTGCCAATACCTCCATTTAGTGGATTGCGAGAAGTAACTTATTTTGTCAGCACGCCACACTAAAATCTTTCTCCATTATGGCTCGTGTAGAGATTGTGACCGAGCCATCAGGCGATAAATCCTACGACTTGAGATTGAAGAAGAATACCGTTGGCTCCATCTTTATGAATGCGACTAGAAAATGAAATAAATTCAATAAGAAAGTTTTGTTTTACTACCGGTATCTCAAAACTTGATTTATCGACTCCTTTGACACTAAAACAATGTGCCAGGCTTATAATATTAAAAACAACAACAACAACAAGAACAACAACAATAATAATAATAATAATAATAATAATAATAATAATGATAATAATAATAATAATAATAATAATAATAATAATAATAATAATAATAATAATAATAATAGTAGTTATAATAATAATAATATAATAATAATGATAATAATAATAATAATAATAATAATAATAATAATAATGATAATAATAATAATATAATATTGTTAATAATAGTAATAATAATAATAATAATAATAATAATAATAAAAAATAAATATCAAGTGCATAGCAAATAATAATAATAATAATAATAATAATAATAATAATAATAATATTAATATGAATAATAATAACAACAACAACAACAATAATATAATAATGAAAATGATAATGATAAAAATAAATATCAAGTGTATAGCACACATACCCCCTCTCGACAGCAAGCTCTATGCGCTTTTACTCTAGCCTACATTATTTCCCCAGCAGACCCTCAAACACCCAGAAACAATTATTTTTGGCTTCCTGGGAAGAATACTGTAGTTCAAGCAGCCGATTAAGCGCTCGAACACTTAACAAACTGACAAGATCTTTCTCTGTCTTTAACTGCCCGGGTACCCATTCCCATTATATATGGGGGAAGAGAGGAAAATTCATGTAAACACAGCACAGTGCCCTTCCCACGGACACAACGTTGCGAGTCTAAGAGCCTAACCACTAGTCACTAGTCCACCGACACCACTCTTATTATTATGTGTAGTGTGTAGTGTGTCGGCACTCGAAGTAATTCATGCGCACATCTTCAGCTGACTAGCGGGTCATTATTCTGTCTTGCTGCCTGCAGGATCGGTCTACCGCGGGGCTTAGATGGGAGCTGGAAGGAATCAATATTATTATGTAGATCGTTATTCCAGACGCAGCTGTTTCCCTAGCTTTCTGCGTGTTTCCCTCGCTTTCAGAGTGGTTGCTGTGCTTTTTGCCAGGATGCTGGGAGGCAATTTGTGTGTACGTTGCGTAGATCTATCATAATATTCACTGAGGATATTGTTGTCAAGATGCTACAGGTAGTAGTTGTACATGTATATTATACACACATTGATTCGGTATGGGTGGTTGGCGGGTGGTCTGGTGTGGTTTACTTCAGAATGCTGGTTGGCAATTTGTGTGTACGCTGCGTAGTTCTGTCATAGTCACGGAGGATATTGTTGTCAAGATGCTACAGGTAGTAGTTGTACATCTATTTTTTACACACATTGATTCGGTATGGGTGGTTGGCGGGTGGTCTGGTGGGGTTTACTCCAGTATGCTGTGTGACAATTTGTGTGTACGCTGCGTAGTTCTATCATAGTTATTGAGGATAGTGTTGTTAAGGTGCCACTAGTAGTGGTTGTATACGTTCATACACAGATTCTTTGCTGGCATTTTTGCGGGTGCTCTGGTGTGGTTTACATATAATATTGTTCAAATCTCCCCTCTTTCTTTTTTGTGGTGTTTTTTTTACTGTCTAGTAGCACCCCTAATCTTCGACAGTTAATATTATGACCTTATTGTTTTGCAAGTGCCGTAAAACTCCACTGGGGATCTCGTGGCCTAGAAGTTAAACGTAAGGTGTTGGCCTTTCATTCAAAGGTCCCGGGTTCGAATCCGGGTAGCGATCGAAAAGCTTTCTTCTCTAAAATTGTCTCCTTTCACCTCCTTTTCTGCTCCGTAGCAATGTTCTGTTGTCTGCGCATGCATGCTGTCATTTCCATTTTCTGACCCCACCCCCTCACCTCCGTTGCCCCCTCCTCTGGGCTCCTGACTCTTTCTGCAGCCTTTCTATTGCTACTCCTTGGCTCCTTCTTATTGTTGTCTTTCTGCCACACCCCTGATCTTCTGGTAGGAAAGATCTACACCTAGCCTTCTCGGACAAGGGCGAAAAATCTCGGAGGGCCCGTGTGCAAATTGCGCACGTTAAAGATCCCTTGGTGGTTTAAAATCGATAAGAGTAGGCTTCGGCCGCCACCCGGGCAAAATTCAAAATTTCCTACCAACTGAAAATATTAGGTGTGTCCCGCGCGCTCATATGACCTTATGCAGTTGCGAGCGCCGTAAAACACTTTACAAAAACCAAAAAAACCCAAAAAACTCCAACTAAAGCTAATAAATAGATTCTTTTGCCACCAGGCCTGGCTAGTATTTATAATCAAGAATATCCCGTTTATCCCTATCCACACGTCGTGTTTTACTATCGTATCCATACGACATGGGGAACTCTGTGCCACCACTTTCCAAAGGTAATTAACTCGTTAATCTGATCCGTACGCTTTGCATAGCAGTCTGTCAAAATGATGTTTTGAGAAATACTGAAACTTTCAAAAATGTGAAAATGTAAAAATACAACCCCGGGGGTACAAAATGACCCCTGGGAGTACAAATAGGGGTAAGTTACGGGGCTTTGGGGTGGGGGGAGGGGAGCTTCCTCGGATTGCCGTCGTGTGTAATGTTTGACAGGATGTTCTACAAACAGTGATGTGATGTGCAATGGGTTTCAATTCGAAATGCATTATCATGCACGGTTTGTGCTTATGTCAGATCTACGAATGCAAGTACGTGTGAGTGTGCATAATATATTCAGCATGATATGCTACTTTTTGAGTATATATATATATATATATATATATACTTACCTATATAAATGCATGAAGGCATGTGTGTGTGTGTGTGTGTGTGTGTGTGTGTGTGTGTGTGCGTGTGTGTGCATGTATGTGTGTGTGTGTGTGTGTGTGTGTGTGTGTGTGTGTGTGTGCGTGTGTGTGTGTTAGGCTCTTGTATGTGAGTTGTATGTTTGTTTGTTAGTTTGTGTATGTGAAGGAATGGGTTAGTCTTTGTTATTGTTGTTGTTGTTTTTTGTTGTTGTTATAATTATCGCTGTAGTAGTTACTGTTGTTGTTGTTTTGTTTTGTTTTTCGTTACTGTTGCTGCCGTTGTTGTTTTCTTGAGGGTCGTGACTCTCTCTCTCTCTTGATCACCGCTCTGTTGTTGGTTGTTTTTGTTTTGCTTTGTTTTTTTGCAGTTTAGTGTTAGTATTGTCGCTTTGTTGTTGGTGTTGCTGTCCGTGAAAATGGTGGTGGTAGCGATACTGGCAGCAAGTTTTGTAGCTGCAGTTTCTAAATGAGCTGTGGTGAGTGCTGACTCAAAAACAATGTGGACAAAGTGTCGGTGACACGATGTTTAAATGGGTGGTCACTGGGGTGTGTCCTTGAGTAAGACACGACAACCCTATCTCAAAATACAGGGCGCTGCACAGTGGCGACCGGCAATGGCATGGTTGTGGATTGTTCAGTACTGGTGTAATATTGTGCCTTAAAAATTTATGAATGTTTTTGTGCATGCATTTATGTATTGAGGTATATATATATGTATTTATGAGTATGGGTTTATGTATTTATGTATGTATAACGCATGTATGTTTGTCATTTTAAACCAAATTGCCCTTCTGGGCTCAATAAACGTGTCGTTGATTGTTTGATTGAATTGATTACCATTTTCTCTTTTCTTTCCTACAGATCCACAAGTCTTCATCCTCACATATACAACCAAAGGAGGTCCTTCATTACAACAACTCAACGTAACAAAGGAAAAATCTCTACCAACGAGTGCTCAAATCTCACCCAGGGTCCAACAAATAAATCTATTCACATTACTTGGTCACATTAATTAACAGCACAGAAGCTGTCTTGATAGAGAATATAACAAAACCCCACGCTTTGAGATCGCCAAACTGTACCACTGATAAAAGACTGGATAAAAAGCCGCCACATAGGAGAAGGTACAGTGAAGCTATTATATCTTTTTACAGACCACTAAAAAACACACCAAAAATTAATAATAATAACTTCAGCCAAACCCCGCCTCAGAGAAGCTTTATAGGTTTTTAGGAATACTGTGTGGCTAGATCTGATTGTAAATCCTTGCAAAACCAGATAAAAAGCAGTCGCACTAAACGGACTTGTTTGACCTTTCCTGACGCCAATTAATCCCCGGAGACCAAACAATAAGGCAAGCCATGATTGATTTACGACGTGGCAGAGAGAGGACGGTGCTGGTGCTGGTAGCTGTCGTGTGTGTCACATGGCTCACTGTCCGCTACATGTACCAACCGAAGTCGATGCCAGTGCTGCAGCCTCTGCAAAATATTGTGAGTTGAGGGTTCGAATCCCATTGTTGTGTGTATGCGTGAGCTCTCGTGTGTGTGTGTGTG